TCTCATGTCGGGGTCATTCACTCGAAATCAAATTTTCACATCGATCAAATCATGTGTAATATTTACCAAAATTCTTATATCGCTTTATAACTTTGAGGAAACAAAAACTATTGTTATGAATTCTTGACGAGTTGTACAATCAGACAATGAATCAACTAATTGTTAGTGAACGGTAACACGAAAGTTCGGGAATGTATAAAAATGTACGGATTACGTAAAAAATCTTTCGCTAGAGATTTTTATTTTGTTGATTACGAAACATCAAAGCCAATCGCGTCAAAAGTTTGTAATGATCTGTTTCGTTAGGAATAACTAATTATCCCGGCAATTCTTCCGTACGGTGACATATGCCCTAATTAGGTTATAATTAACTTTTTATAAAAAAGAGCATCATACGTTTTTGAAGTTGTTATTCAAATGGGGATTTGATCTTTTTTTTTTTTTTTTTAATATATTTTCGTTATAAGAGAAGAAAAAGGCACAATTTCTTTATTTGAGTGAAAAGTGGAATTAAGCAACCTTATGCAACTAAAGTGGATTGAATTTGGGATCTCGGGTATCAAAATATTTGAGATCAGTTGTTCATTGTTCAAAGTTATAAAACCAAACTCTCAATCGCAATTATATCTTCATTATGAAAAATTAAAAAAGTGAAAAATTAAGTAAAAGATTATACTTATGTAACTTATTGAAAAAAAATATATAGATATAATAGAGATATATATAAAATAAAAATAATTTGTAAAATTGGAACCAAGAAAAAACATATATGTATCCCCAAAACTTTCAATTAATGAATCTGAATATTAAAATCTGTACAAAATATTTGTGATGGATGAATATATATAAATATATATAGATTTATAAAAAAAAAAAGGTAAGATATCCTCAAATTATCATGGTTTGAACATGACGTTTGCCTTCAGGCAAGTAATTCTTTCCTCATCCGCTGTATAAACATAAGCTTCCACGGTATATTTACCCTTATCACATTTGATAACAGAGAATTATTATTAAATGATTTGACAACAAAACAAAATGGGAGTAAGCTAGAAAATACTTACAAATGGAATTTCTTTTGGTAAAGTAACGGTAGTTTCTAAATATTGTTCCCCTTCTTCAAGTGGGCAGCTTTTATCGACTTTTTCTACTTGTTCGCATAAGTCAAGTTTTTGATGTAAAAGCTTGATTAAACCTAGCTTTACGGTCAAGTCAACGTAACTCCCAAATCCAACGGTCTTTTTCAAATACCCGCTGGCATTAATGTATACGTTTTCACCCCTACGTGGCGGGTCAGGCGATATAAAAATATTCTCAATGACGAGGATGTCATTGTCATTACTGCAATCAGTAATGGTTTCAAAAATATAATTAGAAGGAAATTCCTTGACGAGTAACTGCTCTTCCTCGAAATTTGTAATATGGCTATCATATATTGTCATAGCATTTGCGAAAGTTGCAAACGTTAAACAAGCAATAAAAATAAAAATCTTGGCTTTAAACATTGTGTAAAAATAAAACAGGATAAAGAATAGTAGAAATCAAACATCGCGTTTTTATCCCTTTTTTTTAAAAAAAGAAAAGTTACACCAGCAATCAATATGATGCAATATTAACGTATCACTAGATTGAATAATTAAGATTTAGTTTCTTATTATATTTAGGCGTATTCCGACATTTGATTGAATTCAGAGAAATGTGGAACCGAAGATAATCAAAAATCCTATTTTTTTTTTTTTTTTATAAGGAAAATCCAAAGTTTTTCCGCTTGAACATTTATTATGATTGGATAACAAAATTTAATAATATTTACATACTTAAAAGTGCTAATTTATAAGATAAAAAATAAAAAATAATCATCAATTATCTAAAAATTTTAGATCAATTTTCCCATTTGAACTCGATAATAAAAGTTCATTGTTCTTTTTATTCCCTATATAACCAATTTTATATGATGTCGTATTTACTTTATAATCAATAGCATGATCATTTCCTTCAATGTTGGTCTTTCCATTTGACGTTTGCAAACGAAATCGACCATTATATAGATCAGACTAGATGATAAAAATAAAAAATAAAAAATTATCATCATTATTATTATTTTAAAATTCGTAAAGTTGAAACATACCACAAAAGTTTTGATGCGTCCATTTGAAGTTTTACCAGATATTCGAACCAGCTTATCAGCAGTTGAATTAGCAAGACTTAATTCAACATTTATGTTACCATTACTTGTTGAAGCATGCCATCCGCTACTAACATCATATCTACCACCAATATTTCCATTGCTCGTGGTTAAAATAATTTTACCACCGCTTTGAGATTTACCATTTACTTCTAAATCTATTTTTCCATTTGACGTACGGACCTCAAATAAATGCGCAAAAGGATAAGATCCTTGAATGGCTGAATTTGACGTAAAGAGATGAATGGATCTTGGTGTTGAATTAGATAAGGATTTAACGGTAGCATCTATCCATGCATTATCAGTTTTTAATAAAAGAGCCCTGTCAATATAATAATTTCCTGATATATTTCCAAGAGATTGAACGGCAATCTCACGCGATTTTAAACTCTATCAGATACGTAAGTTAATACCACACCTTTTGATCTAAAAAAAAAAGGGAAAAGGATAAAGTATTTACCTTGACCTTTATGGATTGACTTGATTTCCAACCAACATAATTAAATGTGATATTCTTCAAATTGTCATCAATGATATGATTATTAATTACGTTAATATAGAAATTACCAAATATTTTTAAATTTTTGGGAAATGTAATATTAACGTTTACTAAGATACAACTTGGAAAAGAAACGTTTCCAGGGGTCGTTACTTTAAGATGACAGCTTGATGAATTAAATGACGAAATCACCGAAACTCTATTTTGTAAAGATTCATGACCAAGTAATATTTGTACCGTAACGTTAATTAATGATGAGAAATCACTTTCTTCTTCTGATGATTGTGATACATGAATTTTTCCTTGCTAATTAAGTTAAACCATTGATAAACATTATTTTGCCAAATGGGAAAATTAAATGGAAATTAGATTATTTTTACTTACAGCAGCGCTGCCTGTTACGATCAATTCAAAGTTGCTGAATTCTTTAGGATCGATTTCAAATTCTTTTGGACCTTGCCACGGAACCTTGGGTTTACACATACCCTCTACATCACCACTAAAGCTCTCATTTCTTATCATAAGATACTAATGTTCATAAGAGTTGTGCTTCAGGTTAATTAACAGATCTAATAATTTAAGCGAATTGATCTTTTTATTACTCAATTTACCTTTCCAAATAAAGGAATGATGATTAAAATCAGTAATACAAGAAAAAAGAATTTAGAAATTTTTTTTTTTGCTATAGATTAAATGATATTAGATAATTTTTTTTTTTTGAAAAAAAATAAGGTAAACAAACATAAACAAAGGTGCAATACATTTTAATGGAGGCGCAGAAAATTTAATACGGAAAAGGTTGCTGCGCCGCCAACCCATCCATGGATGATCTCTCGTCTGTCGGAGTATAATCCTCTTCATTTATGGCAATAGTTTGATCATTTTGAACGGGCGTGTAACCTAATAATATCATTAATTTGAAGTTCGACCGGATTCAACCGTTTTAAATTACAGTCGGTGGAGCAATACGATAAGGCATTGTGAACAAATTTTTTTATCTATTTTTATATATATATACACGTCGTATTTATAATAATTTTTTTTATCTTGGTTAAAAAGAATCCTTATACGTAATATGATATCACCGACAATGAAGATCTTAGACATATAAAAATGCGTTTTCTTATCATGAGGCTTTTAGATTACAAATAACACGTTATTGTTAAAGTAAATATAGTCTCTCTCTAAATGCAACCCCCCTTTTAGACCATAGTGAAAATATTTAATAATGTTCATTTAAAGAGAAAATTTCTATACGATTTCTATATGCTTGGGACTGAACGAGAGCGTGCGTTTAGAGAGGTGCATTTAGAGAGAGTTGATTGTATCGTATGGCTTATATGTTTACAAATAGCAGAGTCAAATGTAAACTGTGATGGTAAGGATTTTTTTGATTTCAAAATAAAAATATAAATGTCAAAGATAGATCGCATCTAATTTGTTTTAAGCGATATTTTTTTGTATAAATCCAAATAAAAGATCATAATGATTCATTTTTGAGATGTGGATGAAGCTGAGTTATTAGTTGATGTGGGTGTGGTGGTGGATGTGGTGGTGGGTGTGGTGGTGGATGTGGTGGTGGTGGTTTGTGTGATAGGTGTGGAAGTAGTTGGATTCTTGATGGATCCAATGGGCAGGTTGGAAAGATTAGGTTTAATTAATCTAGATGGTGTGTAAGGCGTGGTAATAGTGTTGCTTTTGCCAGTATTATTTGTAATTGCTGATGATGATGACGGGAAAGTTTTGATAGGCCTTTGTGGTATCATCCCTAATCTAACAGATATTGTATTTGGTAATAGAAATCCTCGTTTCACTAAATTTGCAGTTATTTTTCTCGTTTCAGGATTTTTAAATACTTTTTTATTTATTTCCAACGCTCTTCGATAAACATGAGGAATTCCATACATCTACATTATGAAATACTTTAGTTTAGTAATTCTTTATGCTCAGTTTACTTTTAACCTGATTTAATACCTGTACTTGGTATTCAGCTAATGAACATACTTTAGCGATCCCTAATACGAGTATTTTCTTTCCAAGAGACACTACTAGAAACTTTATTACAGATCTTTGCCAAGCCATTATTTGGAAATCAAAAAGTTTAATGGAAAAAAGTTTTAACATGAAAATATTTTGAATTACACTGATTCACGTGAACGTGTGGCTTAGATCATTGTCTAAAAACAGTAAGAATTTCATCCACCTAAATTCTTCAATTTTTTTTTAGTTCTTTCTATATTATTTGCAATTACCATTAACTCTTCTAATTTTTTTTTTTTAAAAAAAAAAAAAAAAAAATTAGAATTTAAGATTGTAACTTTATTAAAGAGATTTATGTAAAATACAAACTTTTTTTGCTGGTTTTAAGTTCTTGTTTGTTATCCACGAAAAATAATACGTTCGTATTCGTTTTTTTTTGATATATCGACTTATAAATAAAAACAAAAAATTATTGAAAATGAACAAAGGTGAAGAAAGCATGGTAAAATGATATACTTACAGCATTAGATCTTAACGATGATAATTCTATATTCACTAGATTAACTTGCTGATACTAAAAAAAAAAAAAAATTATTAAAATTGTATATAAAAATTGTACAAAGAATTCGTTATATAACCTTTTTTTCTAATCGGTCGAGTTTAGCTTTTGTTAATTGAATTTCTAGACTTGACATTTTTTAATTTTTTTTATTTTGATTGTAAACGAAAAAAAAAATGAGTCAAAAAAAAAATGGCTTTATCCCTCAACATAAAAGCCAGTTGCGTAATTGATTAACTAATCATCAGATTAATCTGTGCGACGGTCTTCTTTTTCGGGACGACCTGTTGCACATAAACATGTCCACTACTGTCCGTCAAGAATTTAACCGCGTTTTCTTGAATTCAGCAAAAACAGAAAAAGAATTTGGTGACTTGCTAACTTATATTTCCAATAATCCTGATAAAATACCTGATTTGGAAGATTCTCTCAATTACGGCAATGATAACGTTAAAGCTACATACCTGAGAAATATATTAACCGGTATGTTTTCATACAATTGAAGTATAAATTAATGTGCTTGACTTCGCTCTTTTTTTTGTCATATTCGCCAACATTACCGAATACTTACTGCCTCTTATCGCCAAACCCGCCCCAAAAACACATTCGCGTTATCGTAGTGCAACCCGTTGCTGGTAAATGGGCCGTAATAAATTTGGTCAACACGCGTCCTGGTTTTTATATTCGTGGTGTCATACTTAATATCTTACACTGATTTTTTTGTAATTTCGTTTCTTGTGCCTCATATTCATTCAATCTATTATACAGAGCCTCCTAACAAACGTGTAAAAATAGATGATAGACTGAACAAATTTTGGCGAGTTTTAAAGGATGCATCTTGTGGCGAATTTCTTGTACTATCTGAAAATACTCGATTTTTGGGAAAGAAAAATGGACCTTCCACTGTGTTCATTCGTAAATGTTATCTTGATCTGCAAGTTGTTGTCTTTAAAAGAAACAAAATTCGTATAACCGGGAATCCGGGTATCGGAAAAACCTATTTCGGATACTATTTACTTTATTTGCTCGCACTACAAAATACTATTGTATATGATAACGCAAATGAAGCTAAACTGATTGTCTTTGATGGGGAAAATGCCACTAAAAGTGACGATATAGAACCATACCTGAGAGACCCGAATGTTTGGTACATCGTAGATGGTAAGGAACCAAGTGATGTCAACGCTAAAACAATTCTAATCTGCTCACCCAATAAAAGCACTTTGATAAATATATTAGAAGTACATCACGGTTTATGCCAACATGGAAGTGGAGAGAGATCAATACATGCAGGAAACTTTATACAAATATAAAAAAAAAAACAGGCTGTATATTTGTTTATTAGGTGTGGAGGGATCTCTCGGTTTGTTTTGGAAAAGGCTAATGATATAACTCACCAAAATAGGCTTGAAGAGGCAATTTCATGTATTAAAGAGATTATTTTTGATTTTATTGGTGAAAGTGTAATAGGAATAGATGAAATTAGTCACACGATCGCTCATATCTATGTGAACCTTCCGATCAATTATGATGACGATGATGACAACGAAGATGATTACGACCTTGAAGATGACAATATCATGAAGACAGAAGAACACTTGAAAAACTTTCTTTACATAAACTTCAGCTTGATCAAGGTGGTAAAGAACCCTATACACAGGTAACTGTAAGATTTGCATCAGATTATTTGAAGCAAAGGGTGATTGATCAATACGAAGCACGTATAAGAGAAAAACTTGTTGCACAAATTAGAGCGGGTATAGGTAGTTCGCTCTTAGGTAGCTGATTTGAGTATATTGCTCACAGAATTTTGCGAAAAGGAGGACATTTTGATGTTCGTCCTTTAGATCCTTATCTTAACCGCAATTATAAAGATTCAAATGCAGTTGTCAATTTATCTTTACAGAACGAGATACTAAAGTTCAACAAAAATAGTATTGATTCGATCGAGTCACAAAAGTATTATCAACCAAAGAAAAAAAATTTTCCATCAGTTGATTCAATTATTGCTTCAAATCGGGTCTTTCAGATGACTATTTCAAAAAATCATCCCATTAATCTGACTGGTTTAAATCTTCTTTGTGACAAATTAGGTGGAAAATCAGTCAAAGGTTTCATTTATTATTACTTTGTTGTACCAGCGTATCTGTATGATGATTTTAAAATGCAAAGGTTTGATGTCAAGAACACTCCAGATTGGATTAATAAACGCGTTTTTCAATATGCTTTAAAAATTGAGCTTTGAAGGACGTATTCAGTATAACATTTACATAATTTTAATCTTTTTATTTGTTATTTTGTATGAAAATCATATCTGATTTTATTCTATTTTTATTTGCAAAATTAAAATTTACCATAATAATTAGCAAAAGCTAATTTAGATGTTAACGACCTTAATGAAATAAAACTTCAGATTTGTAAACATTGTTTTTTATAATAACTCGCTTAACTTATTGATTTCATCAAAGACATTATTCCCCTTTACACTATATAACTTGATACTTTAAATTTGTAACAATAAAACTTTAACTCGGAGACTTTTATCAGCCACTTATTATTCTTTTACCAAAATTAAATCCTTTTTGGTTGATCATTGTAAATCTTACAAATAGTTTGAAAAATTGCAAGTTATTTCTTTTTATAGAAACGAAATTATTTTGTTATCACTGGTTTCTCTTCATCTAACCAACAGCCCTTCTTTTCAAATCCTCTTTTAAGTATAACATTCTTTAAACAAATTTTTAGACTAATAGCAGCTTAGATTCTTATACTAAATAGTTAAATCTATTTTGAATTAATTTTAGGTAGATTAATCTATAATAAAATAAGGTTGATTTAATTTAATTTAGTTTTTATACTTTCTAAAATTATATTTTGTAATTTTTATATTTTACTTTACTTTTAATAAAAATTATACAAAGCCATTTCATTTTAATATAAAAAATTAATAAATTATAATTTAAAACTGATTCTTATTTTTATATACTTATCAACATTTTTAATTATTATTTTATTTCACTTTATAAGCGTTTAGTTAGTTATAAATCTAATGATTAAGTAAGTTAATTTTAATATAATAATATTATTATTTTTAACTAATTTTTAGTTATTCTTATCATATGTTTTAGATTATTATTTTATTAAAAGATAATATTTTCAATATTTAATTCATAATATATTAAATCTTTAAAATTTTTGATCTAAGATTTTACAATTAAGTTTTATATCTATTAATTCTATATGAATTTTTAATTTTTTTAAATATAAAATAATTTTATATAAATATTTTTTGCTACTGAACTTTATTATACTTAAGGTATGCTAGTTATTTAATAGTTTTCATTTTTTCAATAATATTGATTAGTGTATAGAATCAGATTTATAAATACTGAATTGAAACTAAATTTTTTAATTTTAAATTAAACTTTTAAAATCAAATATTAGTTTTAAAAAATCTGAATTAAAATTTGCATTTTTTAATCAAATTTTTTATCATAACTGGATATAGATTTAAATATAATTTCAAATTAGTATTTAATTTGCATTTGAATTAATATTTAGATTTTATATTCAGTTGAATTTATTGATTTAATTTTTAAATAACTTTAAGATAATATTTAAACTGAATTAAAACTATAATTATAAGTTTATTATTATAATTGATAATATTAATTTTTGAAATAACTTTTTATATTCTAATATTACTATTGTAAATCATTAAACAAATAATTTATATAAAATAATGTAATTTATTTTTTCTTTTCATATATAGTTTTTTCTGTAATTTCTTTTTTACAAATTTTTTTTGTAATGTAAATCATTAAACAAATAACTTATATAAAATAATGTAATTTATTTTTTCTTTTCATATATAGTTTTTTCTGTAATTTCTTTTTTACAAATTTTTTCTGTAATTTAATAGTTTTATTTATTAAATTAAATTTTTAATCAAAATTAAATATTATTAATATTTTATGTGATTAAATTTTTTTATAAAAATGAATTTATCTTTTTTTTTTAGATTGTAAATATTTAAATTATATAAAATAGAAATTTTTTTGAAATTTTTTTAACCTTTATATCTTTAATAAAAAATTAGTTTATTATTAAATCTGTAAATAAAAAATATAAAAAAAAAGTATAAATATATAATTCAACTTTAAATTTAATTTTTAATTTTTAAAAGTATACTATATTAAAGATATATCAAATCAAAAAATAAATTATATTTTTTAATAGTAATATCTCTATAAATACATTTTTTTAGAAACTGATTATGAATATGTATTTAAAAAGAATATGCATTTATAAAATAATAAATAGAAAAAAATAAAGTTATACAAATCATAATTTGATATACATTTATTTAAATTTAAAACAAATTTATAAAGCTAATTATTACTTTTAACAAAATATATATTAATATCAGTTATATTAAACTTATTTTTTTGATTTTAAAAAATTTTTTGATTTTTTTCTATTAACTTTATATATACACTTTTACATTTTTCTATTAAAATAGATACATACTTATAGTTTTTAAACTAGCTACTATAGTATTAGTACTAATAATAGAAATTTTATAGCTATCATTCACTTTTTCTAAATTTACATTTGATTCATCAGTATTTTTAAAAAAATATTTTGATCATTTTTAAAAACTTTATAAATATTTTTTTCAAGAATATTAAGAAACTCTTTTAATTATTTATTAAAAAATTAAGAGTTTAAAGTATATTTGTAAATTAATAAGTATTAAATTTTTATCTTTTAAATTATTTCTTAAAATCTGTGTCTGTATAAATATAAGTGAAAAGAATCTTTGTATGATATTAATAAAGTTACAAAAACACATATTATAACACGAATATTAATTCAATCAAGATTAAATTTTATATATAAATAGTATTGAATCTTCTGAGCAACTTTTACTTAGAAATGAAAGTAATTAACATTGATCAAAGTACTCAAATTTTCTTGTGAAGTCAAAAAAGTATGATTTAAAATTATTTCTACACAAATATTAATCCTATCAAGATAAAACATTAGATGTAAATAGTATTAAATCTGTTAAACAATTTTTACTTAAAAATAAAAGGTAATTAACTTTAACCAAAGTACTTAAAATTTGTCATAAAATCTCTATATTAAATATTTATAAAAAAAAATATTAAATATATATAAAAATTAAAATTTACAAAAAATAAAAAAAATTACATTTAGTAAGAATTCTTATAAGTTTAAGTATTTAAAAAATAAGGTTATTTTTTTAAAGATTATGTTAAATAAAATAAAAGTGTTTTTTTTTTGTTAAAAAAAAAAAAAAAAGATTGGAAAATTGATTTTCAGTATAATTATAATTAATTATGCAACTATAATTAATCATCAAATTAAAAATTTTCATATCATTTTGCATAAAATTTTTTTTTACAGAAAAAGCAAAAGAAAAATAACAAAATAAATTAGAATTTTAAATTGAATTAAATATAATATATTGTTTATTAAATAATTTAAATAATTTAATCAAATTAAGTTAGATTAGGACAGGTTAGGTTAGGTCAAATGAAAATTTAAATCAGGTCAGATTTTTGTTTGATCTGACCTGATCCTCTTAGTTCAGTAACTTTATTGACCTGATCTGAACTGACCTATTCGGAGCTCTACTAGAATATTTTTAAAACATACTGCTTTCTTTCTTTTAAAATATTTATAGATATTTACTAAAATCTCAGAAATTATTATATTCAAATTCTAAAGCTTACGAACTTTTAACACTCAGACTTAAGTTAATATTAAAGTGTTACTAATGACTTAGAATACATTACATCTATCCTGAAAAAATAGATACTGCAACTTGGAGGATTGTATAGATTTTTGTGAGATAGGTTATATTTTAACTTGTGAACATGCTTATCACTTTGAATGTCTTTTATTTAAAATAGGAAATCAGTATGATGCAGATCATTTATAAATAAAAATAAAATTATCCATTTTAAAATCCTAAAACTTTTATTCTATATGCTATAAAGAAAAATTATTCACAATAATTATAGAGTGGACAATGAAAAATAAAAGTTACAATTCAAATATTTAATTAATTAGAAAGTTTTTGAGTTTTAAGCGATTGAAAATTATGATTTTCTTATAAAGTATTCAAATTTCAGACATCAATCTTATTATGTGATATTGACTTTACCCAATAAAATTCAATCACGTAAAAATTATCCAATAAAATGTATGTAATACAATATAATGCAAATTGATCAGTAAAATTTTTTTTTAAAAAAATTTTTTTCTTCAGGCATGTCCTGACTTATAAAGAAAAAAGCTGCAGTGAAAAACAAAAATCGCAATAAGAAAGGAAAATTTGGCACAAAAACTAAGTAGGTTTATCAAATTATTTAATGTATTTATAAGAAAGGATACATTTATTTAAATTAATATTTTTTTTCTAGAGTTGAGAATGATGTAGAAGTGGGCTTTTTGCAATAGAAAGGGAGTAAACTACCAAAAAAATTTTTTTGAGTTAATATTAAATTTAGACTTATTTTGTTAAAAATATAATATTTAGCTTATAAAGTAAAAAAAAATTTTTTTGGTAGTTTCCTCCCTTTCTATTGCAAAGAGCCTATATTAAGAAAATAATTAGAGATGGATTTGGATAATACTTTTAGCAAAAAAGATTGGGAAAATGATGAGGTAAGTGATTGGGAAAGTGATATTGATTTAAAAGCAGAATAAGATATACAGAATAGACTTTTAAAGGTAGATTTTGAATTGAAGTATAGACTAGATGTCAAATTAGAAAAAGAAAAATGCAATCCTTATAAAGTAGATAAAATACCAAAGTCAACTTATTATGACAAATAGGGACCTAGTGGCTCATGGACAAAAGTAGCAAAGGGAATCTGAAAGTTAGAGAGATTTTTTAACTGGCAAGATAGATTAATGCAAGAAAGTTTTTATGATATTTTATTAGATGAAGAAGAAGTTGTCTATGTTTGTCTGGCTATCAGAAAATATGGTTTCAAATTTAGAGAGAGATTTAAAAGAAAATTTTAACAGAATATTGGCAAAAGAATATATTAAGAAAAGGGTTATATTTGAATATCTCATACGCTTATTAAAAAGAGAGAAAAAGATGAAGGTAAGTATAAATGTAGTAAATATAATATATAATAGTAATAGTAAATTAACAGCTACTTGGATTCAGCAGATGACAAAATATTAGTGTATTAATAATGC